TTTTTTCTGTGACTTTAAAAAATTGTAGCTGTTATCGCTTTTTAGTTTCTATTGATCGCCAAATTTTTTCCAAATGAAGAAAAAGTTTTCTGAGCTATTCAAGCGAAATTGTAGAAAAAAATGTAAAAAGTGTAAAACAGAAAACTTGCGAAGAATTTTACAATCTCTGACTGTGGAAATAGCTGCGATTTCGAAAATTATAGCATTGTTCTCGATTGAGGTAATAGAGTACAAATAGGTTCAGTTACCATCCATCTGCATTCTGTTCAGCAGCGTTCGATATGTTCTTCTACACTATCTGTGCACTTTTAGTGCTCAACGCCTTCACAACTGAGGGAGCAGTCACCACCAAAGCTGTAGGTTACTATAGTAGGACATACTATTTTTTGTGTACGTCACTTCCCAGCAAACCACCCCGCCCTACTAAGCTTTGAAGTGAATGCATGCCATACATCTACATCTTTTTCAGCCATGCGTAGACAGAGGAGGAGAAGCGTACTGCTCGGTTCACAGCGGCAGCCCCGATTACATATGCACCAATATACTGAAATACTACCTTGCATCACAGCTCCGTGCCAAAACATGTGGTGTTTGTGTGTGATTAAGGTTAATCAACGGTAAACATTCTACATTCAATGTTGCTCCTCTTCTAATGATTGCGTGTGAAGTGGGAACTAGGTTATCTAGAAAATAGATTTTCAATCAAAACTGTATGTAATGAGCAACTTCGGAAACTTATTCTGCAAATGAAAATTAAAATTGTTCCAGAAGCATGGGATCGACTTATCGCAGTACCTTAATTTCCTCTACTTCCCTTTCCCAATAGAATGCCACAACGTACATTATACTGAAGAGCATGCTATTCACTACGACGAACTCCATAACTGCTTCCAAAAAAAAATCCATTATTTCGTGCTTGTTTGTATCTAACTCGACACTGATGTTGTTTTTTTCGACGACAGCGTGGCAGTTATGAGGAAAAAAAAGGAAGTCGAATCCGAAAAGCGGCTCATCCCAATAGTCGATCAATTGTGTGGTGCATGCAATACACTTTACCGACCCCTACAACAATAGAAGGAAGCCGCTATTCGCTAAGTACTGTTCTGATGCAAAATAGAAAGCTACACATGGCCTAAGCGCTTAGCTGTCTTCTTTGGGAAAACAGCTCTTCCATTCCGCCCGCTCTTTCGCGACTTGCATCCAATGAAGGCCGTTTCCTTTGAAACACTTGGCCAACGAATCGGCCAACCGAGCCGGCGGTCGTACTTCAGTCTTGTTTTGTTTCTCTAAGGCCACTTCGTGAGTTGGATACTCAGTCTACCTGCCATCCTTCCAGCGAAGTGGATGACCGGCCCACCGGTGGTTCGAATACGCCATGTCTAAAGCGTGTCAAACGCGATATCTCCTTCACTTCGGGGCTTCGCATACCTTGTTGTCATTGTTGATGCCGGCTAACTTTTGGGAAGACTAACCTTTTTTGCTACTGCGTAATTAGAAGTTCATACTGCTTCAGTGATTGTCTTGATGCCAGGACACGTTTTAGTCGCATAACACATCACTAGCAGTACGGAGGCTTGAATATTGATTCCCTGAGGTTGGAATGCCTGAACTGGTTAGTCGCTTCATTAATAGATCCGGAGGCTGCCCATGCAGTACGTCTTCACCAATTTAGTTCAGGAATGAGTGTTCGTCATGCTCAGCTGTATTCATAGATACTAGTAGGATTCATCTCTTTCTAGGGCATTTTATTTGCATATAACTGCTCTAGAATTGCACCACTTATAAACCATGGTTGTGCTTTGGATATGACCATCTCCAAGCCTACTGAATTGAGCTTATTGACCACAATTTTTTTGCTGCCAAGTGCACCATATCTCCACGTTAAGGCGGCTATGGTATGAACAAGAGGGCACAGGCAGTGAAGAAGAAAGTGTCGATTTCCACCGATTCGATGACGAACAATTCGTGGCCTCCCAACTTATGTTGGACCAATTTTGAATCATAGTCGAAGGGGAGAAGGCAGCAGTAGTCAGCAGCAGTAGCATGGTCACCAGAGTTTCTACAATAGAATACAACAAGTGAAATTTGACACTGGCTTTGCGATGAATGTGGGCTTTCTTCAGTGGAGCGAAGAAGTCCTTCCCTGGATGAAAAAGCGGTTGAATAATTGATAAAAACGCTTACATTTCTGCAGATATTGTGAAGAATGAGGGATGTCATGAGTTCAGTTGTTGGTTTGTTTTACCCAATTTTTCGTTTCTTACTTCAGTTCAATGAAATTTTCTCCATCAGTGAATGTAGCAAACACTTAAGTGAGAGGCGAAGACTGAAGAATATGATCCCGCAATTGATTTATCATGGCGTGGGTATAACACATTCGCATGTTGAATAAATTGAATAGATTCATGAACGCTGCTCGAATACTTTTAAGGGTACCCTGAAAATGAAATACCATTCCACAACACTCAACATAATATAGATGTTAATTCATATGAAATGAGTGAAAGTGCGATGTGGCGCCAACGCATCGACACACAGTCGACAAAACCACAGTCGATTCGAGCTCATCGGAGGGCTACTTCAATTCGAGCCAGAACGAAAGTATAAAACTTTTGAGGTGAAAGCAACTGTAGAGTTTCACACGGTAGTCGCCACGCTCTCCAGAATTAGATGTGTTTTAGCCTTCTGGAAGGAATTTCACAGACTTCCGTGCAGGCTTTAATTTTTCTGGTTTCTCGTTTGCAAAACGAATTTGAGGGACTTTGCGTTTTGTAAATCTGTATAGAATGTAACCACAAGGTAAAGTCGTGAACACACTTCTATTGTTGGGTATCATTATTCGCTTTGTTATACTATCTATTGTATATCTGTCCATTACCTCGTGTTTCCCACAACTCGAATTTCGCAACTAACGAAACAGATTTCCCGCGCGCGAAGCTGCCGGCCAGAGCCCTCTTTTGATCTCTGTTTATAAGGATATCTTACTCTCTTGTATTCGGCGTATCTCTGTAATCTCCATTTTCCCTCTGTCACAGGTATAAATACCGGTCACATCTCCTAAATTGACTTTTTGGATCTATCTATTTTGTCAGAGGATTCTGGTGATCAATCGCCCTTTTCTGTGCTGCTACTTACGGAGAAGAGTAAAGTGTGAGTCACTGTTTTCTACCGAGCCATAAAGAACGGACCTTATCCCTAGACATCCGAAAAGGGAATTCAAGACGGTAACCCAAAAAGGGGCAAACACCGCGAACCCTTTAGGGGGGGGCGAAGCTAGCTAGCTTGGTCGAACGGTAAGTTTCAGTGCAGTGGGAAGCCAGCGAATCCCTGAGTTTCCGAAAAGTACAATTCGAGCCGTAGAGCCAAGCAGAGCGGCGGGCTCGAAGTGAATGCTAGGCGGGCAGTCCCCACACGTTGGCTCTTGCTCGGAGCGATCCAAAAGCTGAGTCAGCCGATAGAACAGAGGGACACCCTTCTTGCAAGGTAAATCCCTGCGCAAATTTTTTGTGTACTGATCACTCCAGGGTCTTGCGGCATAACATCCGCACAGGAGCGACAAAAAACAGTGCACATCACTGAATCTACAGAAATCGTGATGGATTTCAGGAACACAAATGCCAGGCGACATGGAACGCGAGCTCGATCGTATTCTGGAGGAAGAGGTCGCTCGAGGCAGCAGGATGGAAGAGCTGCACCAGTGGTTGTCTCAGCTCAGGGCGCAAGTGATGCAGTTAACGTAGCAGAATCTGCAACAGGTACTACATTCGGTTTCTCGGTGTGCCCTAAGCGTTGCAAATCTGCGGAACGTGCCCAAACAAATCGCATCCTTGTTCAGGGAAGACAAAATGTCCCACCTGAAGACGATGAAAACAAGCTGACCAAGCTCCTTACATCAGAGTGCGACGCAATACTCTCGGCGCAAGATCCCTTGAGCGAAACAGCCGCGAGAGTCAAGAAAATGGCGTCCGAAACACATGTAAAACACAGTGAGGAGCTATCGCCTATTTCCGATCAGGCATAACATGTCGATTACTCCATGCGCACGCTTTCGAAATTGTTACACGTCCAGTCCACAGAGGTAGTTGGGGCAGTGGAAATTCTAGTCAAGAGACACCAGAAGCTGGCTAGAACACAACTACCAAGTTTAGGTAAAAAGATACTGCCAGCTAGAATACCACTGACCCTCGACAATTTCGACGGTAGACAGACGTGCATATTGCAGGGCACTTGGACTTCCGCGCAAAGTGAAGCGCAGCCGACTTCAATGGAGACAGAACATGGCGAGACTGAACACAACAAATTTCGCTAGGCTTTTCGCCTACTCAATTCTAAGGACTATACTACAGAAGCTAGATTACCGCCAACCAATCGAATTCGATGCAGTGAATGCGGCTAAAGAGGAACAGCGACGTGAACGAGCCACGACACACCATGGCGCTACCCTCTCCAACCAGGGGCAACCCCCCAAGAGAGTCGAAGTTGGAGATCCGCGTTTCGATCCACTGCACCTGCTCTTCTCGTGCCATTGTGGAATGTTCAATACCCATGCGCAAGTGGGCCTGCCTGGTCTGCGCTGTGATCTCGCTCGTTCTAAACCTGTCAAAAATCTTTTCGAACTAGCTAATGTCGCCTCAATTGCTTTGCACCCTAAGTGGTGGGGGGGACGACAGGAAAAAAGCCGAGCTCTGAATAAGGAGTCGCGCTATTTGACTATTCATGGCCTTGCAACAGCAATTCATGCACACAGCAAGTTCCGTTTCGACTACCCAACCGCCTTAAAAGCCCATGAGGACGTGGTACTGCCCCATCCTCCGTTGCTCACGATCCCGGCTACGACATCGAGTTATACTATCGCATGGCAATGGCACGACGCTTCCAGGTCACGTCGCAGTCGTCGGATGTTGACATGCCAGGTAATCCGATAATGATAGCTCTACCGGGGCAGTACGGAAAGGTCTTTGCTGAAGTTCTGGAGCCACCCGTTGTGAAATTCCTCGCGTACACGCACTTCGGAGATGTGACGGGCCAGTTGCAGAAGCAAAGCATATCTTCTGCGTTCGTTTGGGTGTGGCCAAATGAAGTCCCCAACACGCAACACATGCTTCTCGTCCAACATGCAGTGGAAAGGCACCTGCAGTAAGGGGGAACATTGGAGCTGTCCCCTCCCCCGTTCGAACTACGTTATGAGTTCGACTGGAGGCACATCGGGACGGTATGCAGAAAGATGGCTGTTTTTTCGGGACCGGCGAGAGGTTTCGATGCAAGGATCGTCGATTTCCACAGTACGATCGGGGAAGTGGTGCCCCTAAAGCACCTCGCAGTGAGTCTGGGAGTACGTCCCAGGAAGGGAGAGGACCGTCTGATGGGCGGGCAGTGCCAGGTATTACTCCAGCAGATCGCCGAATTTACGTCCAATTTGCTCGTCCTGCCTAAGTTCGAACCAGCACCAAAGAAACCCGCAGAGGACCAGCCGACAACCAGCAATGCTCCAGCCGCAGAAGGATACCAAGAAGCGCAAAGGTTTCGACGCGTACCACATCGAGGACGTCAAGCAGAAACGGAAGGGGGTGGCGCACGCAATGAAGCAAATGGGTCGCAAGGATAAGCCGCCGGAGTCGGCTTCCCGCAGAAGGGGCGTGTAAATATGTGTAGAATGTAACTACAATGTAAAGTTGTAAACATACTTCTATTGTCGTGTATCATTATTCGCTTTGTTATACTATCTATTGCATATCTGTCCATTACCTCGTGTTTCCCACAACTCGAATTTCGCAACTACCGAAACAGATTTCCCGCGCGCGAAGCTGCCGGCCAGAGCCCTCTTTTGATCTCTGTTTATAAGGATATCTTACTCTCTTGTATTCGGCGTATCTCTGTAATCTCCATTTTCCCTTTGTCACAGGTATAAATACCGGTCACATCTCCTAAAATGACTTTTTGGATCTATTCATTTCGTCAGAAGATTCTGGTGATCAGTTGCCCACTTCTGTGCTGCTACTTACCGAGAAGAGTAAAGTGTGAGTCACTATTCTCTACCGAGCCATAAGGAACGGACCTTGTCCCTAGACATCTGAAAAGGGGATTCGAGACGGAAACCCAAAAAAGGGGCAAACGCACCGTGAACCCTTTACACTTTGAAATTTTGACAGGAAATGTGTTTCTGAATATTTCTGTTTGACTCGCAAACATTAGAAGAAGAGCAACATTGCGAAAAATGTTTACTGTTGGTTGATCTTTTCAAACAATCACACGCAAACACCACATGTTTTGGCACAGAGCTGTGATGCAAGGTAGTATTTCAA